GTTAACAACAAAACTTTAAAAATAAAATTACTAAATTATATAACTTAGTTAGGTGTTTACTTGTTAGAGCACTTAGCGAAGTCTTTAGCATATAAATTAATGAATTACCGTTGATCAAAAAAAAAAAATTAATGAAGTACCGATAATTTTTGAGACCTTCCACGTCGTGATTACTCGTGTTGCAGTTAGACATTAGCCCAAAAAAATGAATTATTGTAACAGTAGAGAATTACAGATTTCTTTTACCAAAAATCCTAACATCCCTGATCTTTTAAATTATTTCTCTCCAGCCTTTGTTGTTCATTAAAATTATCAAGTGTAAAACTGTCTAAAAGGAAATGGAAAGGTAATGGACCGCTGAGGTTACCATATAGAAGCAGTCAAATGCGAGAGATCCCATGGAGGGTCCCATTTTCGTGGACAAATATGTATTGATTCCATAGTACCAATGTAGCATACCCAACAACAAACTCGCTTGCATTGCCAGGATGCCCCAAAGTCAAACGTGTATGCGACCTAACTTAGTTCCTTTTAGCTCATCGTAAGCCTAACTTTTCCTCCGAGTATGTTCCTTTATCTCCGTAGCCAGCACAATCTGCTCCACCATGAATCTCTCTACACTCCTTTCCTAATCTGTCTCCAAGCAAGTCAACCGTTGCAATAATGCAACGCCTCAACGAATTTCCCTAGGTAGCAGTTTCATCCATATCTTAATTCCTGCTCCACTAACGTTATCAAATTCGGGTTTAGCCCATGTATAATATCAGCTATTGAGATCACTCTCAGTGATGTAGTACAGCCTATCGAGTTCCAAAAATGATTAAAGCGAATTAAATACGTTTCAAAAGAAAAGTTACCAGAGGGTTTGAGAAAACCCAGAGACTTTAGCAGAGTTGTAGGGGTAAGTGCAGGAGAAGATATGGTTAAACATAGCACTGGAGAACACTTTCACTGAATAACTCAATTTCTCTAGAACACTGGTTTAGAGACAATCTTTGTTCTTAATGTCTTAAAAAAAAACTCTCTATCTTCTTGTGTTAAGGACTATAGTCTAACCATTCTCCCATTACAACAAAGCCTTCACTAAAACCAGCCATTACAAATTTACAGACTGATTCATAATGATATACCTTAGAACAAGCATGAAGCTCATAACATGGAGAGAGGACAACAAATTCTTGTAATAAGCTTCAGGTTAAAGAGAACAGATTTATTCTTGAGGAAAATAGACAATGATGAGATTAAAAAAAGAGAGTATATAAGAAGGGTCGCCCTACCTTATTAAGTAAGGCTGAAGATTTTTCCCCGCTTAGTACTATAAGAGATCGTCTTCTCTTTACCGCTTGATACCGAGATGAAGGAATCTTCAGTAAGAATGTTATTTCTCTCTTTCTTGATATCATTTACCCTGAACGCAAGGAAGATACAGAGTAAACACAAGTTGGTTAGATAAATTCTCACATCCCAACAAAAAGCTGAAAATTTCTACAATGTATTACACTATTGGCTTAACATAGAACTCCTAAATTATAGTAGTCATATGACTGTTATTATCTCTGGTTCTCTCAGCAGAAAAGTCACAATCCCTTGCCCTTAGATATATCTCAAGATTATCCAGCTGGTGATAGAGCTGATAGGAAACGTGTTTCCCAACATTGAGAATTGAACCTGTGCAGATTGGGCAGAAGCAGCAGAGCATATATGAAGTAGTCTTTCATCAAACTCATTTTTCATAACCCAGAGAAAATTATGTAACTTGGCATTAAAGAGGCTGAATTCTCAGAGGCTACAATAGTAGATCATGAAAATGATTCCCTCTTGCATTAATAGTAAAGTAAGGGATAAAAATCATTGCATACCTTAAAAGTTGGTTGGCGTGGGTAGTTTGCAACAGCTTTTGGGAGAACAAATCTGCATACATCCTTTGAATTCTCAGCGTGCATGTTTGATTTCCGCTTACCGAGAATAAATCAAGAGTTATCTTTGCATAAAAAGAGGAATGAAGGTGAGAGCCATTATCATCCAGATACATGGCTTCCATCTTTTATTTTAGTTCTTCAATTTGCTTCTCCAAATTTACATTATTTTGCCTCATCCATTGGCTTAGAAATCTCTTGCAATATGCAATATGTTCTGAAATATTTGCATCTAACGGGAGTTCAGGAGAGTTTCATCCATCTTGAATCACTTGCCATATCTCCTCGTTGTCCAACCATCATTTATCTAATTTAAATTTTTTTCTTTGCTCAAAAAAGCTTAGCAGAAATCATTGTTAGGACTGGACGATGATCCGAATCCTATAGACCGGAGATATTTAACAGAGGAATGTGGTAATTTCTTGTGCCAGTTCTCGTTACCTAAAACACGGTCAAGGCGGCATCTAACTATACTAGTCCCACTCTTAATCCTTCTTTTGCTTACCCATGACATCTGGTTATTAGAGCAGGGAAATTCCAACATCCCACAATCGCTTATCATTTCTTGGAAGAGAATAAAAAAGCTATTGGCTCTTGTTTTTCCTCTTTCTTTCTCATCATCATCATCATGTCCGGTTATTTCGTTAAAATCTCCAATCCTGAACCAAGATCCATCTTTTATTGTTGAGAAATGTGTAAAGCATTTTCATACTAGTTCCATGTGTAGACAAATGTCATGTAGACTTTTATTCCATCAATGATTGCCGATATATCAATCATATGATTATTAGAAAATAAAATATCAACTTGCAAATAATCCATAAAAAATAAAACTAAACTACCGCTTTGGCCATGAAGCTCAACGGTAAAGAACTTCTCAAAATCATAGATGAGCCTGAATTTTTTGCAACAGTAGCTTTCTATTCTTCGACTTAGAAAGGAATACGAATCATGGATGATGCTTATGATACATCTATTTAAAACGTCGGACTATGAGATCGTTTCATATCACTCACAATTCTAACTAATTGTCTTCGTTAATAAAAGCTTGGCGCATCCACCGTACCCTTCGACACAACATAACTGTTCTTAAAAAAAAAAAAAAAAACTGTTCTTCTGTTTCCTTATATTAAAGGAGCATCTAAGAAAATAAATATTCTCAAATTTTATAAAGAAATAGCTAAAAAAAATTAGACGCCCAATACATCAATTTTCATGGCTTAATACAATTATGTACTAACAGAATTGGGCAAAAAACCATAAATAAGTATTACTTTTTAATTGAACCAATAAATCTGTGTTCAACGAATAGTGTAATATATCTCACAATAATCCTAAAAATTAGACGATTTACATTTTCATATTATATTTTTTAGTAGTGGGCACGAAATGAATAATATCATAATTTTTAGTATTTGTGATATGCTTGTAGTTGATGGATATCAAATTTATTGATTTGCTTTACTTCAGAAAATACGAATATATCCACAAAAATTATAGATATTTGCGAATATTTACGGATATCTCGTTCACTTTATTCAGTACAGGTATATCCAAAAAAACTATACATGTTTGTTTCAAAAATTATCTTTTACATAATAAAAAATAGTGAAACTATGTGTTTTATAATTTCAATAAAATTAGTGAAACTATGTGTTTTATAATTTCAAAAAGTTAATTACTTTTTTTTTTATAAAACACATAATTTTAGAGAATTGTAGTATTGTCAATGATGGTTGATATGATACTTGTTCGCCATAGATTAGAAATTTTTATAATTATTTAATTTTTTAAATTTAATATCTTTATAAATAATAATATAAATAAAATTAGTAGAATTATATGTTAAAATAATAAATCGTTATATCTATACATATAAAACCCTATATCTCATATATATTAATTAAGAAGCATTACAACATCTCTTGGTAGCCATGTCTCGTCATGAGAATGCTTCTCAAATTTACTAGAGAAAAATGTCGGTCCATATACACGTATAATATACTTTTTATTAAACTAAGCATAAAACTATTATTAATGCTAATCATTATTTCCTTAAATAAAATTTTATGGAATTACCTAATATGGTTATAATATATATATGACAATTAATGATTATAATATGAAAGATTTCATAAAAAATTCTACTCTTTTTGTTAAATTTATATTGTGAAAATAAATTAACCAAGAACATTAACTATATAACAAAAAAATTAGATTTTTTTTATATGTTATATTTTGAATTTTTAAAAACGACTCTAAATTAATAAAAATTTTAAAAAAATTCACATATAATATTTTTGATTAATAGTTTAAATTCTTTTATTATAAAGATACAAAACAATTATATAATTATTGAGTAAGAAATATCATTTAATAGACAAGTAAATTAGATGTATATATATATATATATATATATTTAGTGATATTTAAATTAAACTAAATACCATTTAAAATACATAAATATCTAATTCCAAAATTGCATTGAACAAGTATTGAGAACTTAATACTTTAATGACAAACTTTGAATTTAATTTTTTTAAACGATGATAAATTACTTTATATATTAAATCTCTCACATTAAAAATGATATTATCAATATTTTTAAATTTTTGTTATAAAAATATACAAATGATCATAAATTAAATGTGAAACTTCATTTATTAGATATCCAAATTAAAAGTATCATATATATATATATATGTTAATATCATTTATTAATTAAATTTACTTATATAAAATAATTGTAAATAAACAAATATGATTATTTTATTTAAGTGTTCGCTAAATTAATTGTATATATAATAGTTACATATGTTTCAATTATTCAATATATATATATATATTTATTATTATATAATACATAAAAAAACACAAAATAAAAAATAAGACATAGAATAATTTATATACATTATTTATTCTATATACATTATTCTCATTCTGTACAAACGCGCAGGTATTAACCTAGTGAAATAGTATTTGTAGTTTATTTTGTTTTTAACAAATATAGATTTTTGATCTGTCTTTGTTTCGAAGACTTATGGATGACCAAATTTTTCGGATAAAATGACGAGCACTGATACTTTCCCACTTGATCATATAAATCACACCAAAAAAAAGATAGGAGTACCAAAGTTTCAAATAAACTCTCTTTATTCTTTTTTTTTGAATTGAAAAACTCTCTTTATTCACATCAACAAAGTTTCTAATAAGAAAATCAACATTCCTAAGGACCAACATCAACAAACTACTAGAGTGTTTTCTTAACTTTCATTGGGATTCACGACTTGCGAGCTCGGTCACGCCAAGATCCTTGCTGTTTTGCAAGCACCTATACAACCAAAGTATCAGATTTTCACATGTTTATGTACCTACTGCAAACGGACCTCCAATAATCGATTGGTTCAAGAGAGTAAAAGAAATGAAAAGACAGAGCTTTTACCTTTTCACTAACAAGACTTACGGCGCCACTGTTGTTTTCTCCTTCAGTGTCCTTCACCTTAGTTGTCTCTGTAACATCATCCTCGCTGTTACCAATAATAGTATGCCCTGTGGGTGCTCCAAACATGGCTTCATCGTGGGCATCTTTAAGTTGCTCTTCCCTTTTTGTCTGCGAGTTAATCAACCATGTAATTTGTCTGAAGTTTTGATTCTTGAATTGAAAATCATTACATAGTGAGTGACAACGAAAGATAATCAGACCTCAATGGCATTAAACCTAAAGCTCTGTCCCATGCGTTTGACTAAGGCTGCATCATCATCGGTACCTGCATAATCATATGAAGCTTTTAGCTCTATTTGTATAGAGAATCAAGAAGTCTTTGTACAGATTCACAGGATAATGACCTTCTTCTACTTCCTCATCATCAAGTGGAGCGTCTTTGTCAAACTCAAATCGTTCCCATCCTGCACCCTTACTGGTATCTTTCTCAGCTGCAAGTCAAGCGGGATAATTAGCTTCAAGAGAGGAAAATAAACATGAGTTGATAAAAACGTTTCACAAGGTAAAAGATGCGAGGAGTCCCATTTTAAGGACAGAGTCGATCTTCCTTGAAATTTATACTGTCTTTGAATACCGTTAAATACATTTTACATGTTTACGATCTATCTCCAGGAAAGGGTTTGTCCAAATCATCATTATTATGGAAATGCAGTACATTGCATCCTCAATGCTAAAAGATACAGAGCCATCACACAGCCCCAATGCCTAACCAGAACCGTAGACAAGTCTAGAATACCCCAAAGCAATCTCCTGCCTCTATTTTAGTCTATGAGAAACTAACCAACTAAGGCTTGAAAATGCTACAAAACTTCTGGGCTAGTTACAACATACAACAGTCCTACTAGAGTAATGAGAAAGGCTTATCAGCACAATCACAGCCCCACCATTTAACAACAATATTCCAAAGGAAGATCCCACTTAAAAGATGTTATCAGGAGAATGAGAACGGAGCTGCTAGAAGCATGGACAGCAGCAAAATCATTGCAGTCTCAGTAAAGGGACCGAGTAACTTACCAGTTTCATCAAGCTGGAGCTTCATCTTGGCTTTAACTTTTTCAGCAACCGACTGTTCAAGAAAGCAAGACAACAAGAAGCCCTTAGAATATCATTGAAAATACAGAATCCAAATCCACAAGACTAGTTGTACCAAATAGGAATTCATGAGCTTATCCTAAAGCACACATTCATTTCAAAACGTCACAATACCAACTCAATTTTAAAGGATGATATAAAGCTACATATCTGAAACACTGATGAGGTAGTTGAATCTTGTGAAAATGAGAGTATACCATATGATCGTAGCCTTTGACTAAGCGCGAGTAATCAATCTTCTTCTTATTCTCCTTAACATCTTCTTTCCTCCTTCCTCTTCTTCTATCATCTTCGCTCCTCCTTCGTTCCCTCCTCGGAGAGCAACTCCTACTCCTGCTCCTGCTCCTCCGCCTCTCTCTATCTGTATACCTACTACGCCTCTCTCTCTCATCCCTCTCTCTACTCCTATAACGACGGCGTTCGCTCGAATCTCTGTATCCCCTATCCGAAGAACGATGCTGATCTTCAGGTTTCTTCTTCAATTTATCTCTGATTGATCGGATATCGGAGTCGTTGGAAGAAGCTTTGACGAACTGGTTGAGAAACGAAGAGGAGGAGGAGGATGCGATCGCTGATGCTCTCTCCGGAACGGCGTCGTTCCCCGACGAAAAGCCGAGGCCTTGCTTGTAACGAGCTGCTCCTTCGCCTTTCCGCGTCAGCTCCTCGTAGTATGCTGCCGCTTTCTCCTCTTCCATAACAACGATTCTATCGGAAACAGAGTTCAGTTTCTTACTCAGATTGAAGAAATGTCTGTGTTATTCCATTTGAGAAATTAGGGAGATTAACTCCATATACCCTCTACGCTCTTAAAATTTTCTCTTTTCTCCTCTTATTAAAATATTATTTACTACTCCCTCCGTTACACTTTATTTGTCATTCTAACTTTGTGTATACAGATTAAAAAAATATTTAATTTTATATATTTTCAAGATAAAAACACAATTACCTATACAACTAACCACTTTTTAACCAATAGAAAAATAGAATCTATATATAATAGCAAACTGAAAGTGACATCAGCATTTTTTTATAGGAAAAAAAATTCAATCCAATGGTTATAGTTAACTTGATTTTAAGATCTAATGGACCAAAAAAATCTTTTCATATGATTGATGATGTCATCAAATATTTGACAACTCTCATTGAAAAGGCATATATTTCATTTTAATAGCCACAATCATATTTTTCATACATTTTCATAAGTTTAAATATTAATATTGACTTTTTAGAAGATAATATTTGTATGTGTCGTGACCGAAGAAGTATGAACGTATCGTGATTCAAGAGGTACAAACATGTCGTGACCCAAGAGGTACGAATGTGTCGTGACCCAAGAGGTACAAATGTGTCATGAACCACGAGGTACGAACGTGTCGTGACCCAAGACGTGCGAACGTATCGGAACCGATTATATATAATAGCAAACTGAAAGTGACATCAGCATTTTTTTATAGGAAAAAAAAATTCAATCCAATGGTCATAGTTAACTTGATTTTAAGATCTAATGGACCAAAAAAAATCTTTTCATATGATTGATGATGTCATCAAATATTTGACAACTCTTCATTGAAAATGCATATATTTCATTTTAATAGCCATAATCATATTTTTCATACATTTTCATAAGTTTAAATATTAATATTGACTTTTTAGAAGATAATATTTGTATGTGTCGTGACCGAAGAGGTATGAACGTATCGTGATTCAAGAGGTACGAACATGTCGTGACCCAAGAGGTACGAATGTATCGTGACCCAAGAGGTACAAATGTGTCATGAACCAAGAGGTACGAACGTGTCGTGACCCAAGAGGTGCGAACGTATCGGAACCGAAATGGTGCGAACGTGGTAGGACCGAAAGGGTGCGAATGTATCGGGACCGAAAGGGTGCGAACGTGTCGGGACCGAAAGGGTGCGAACGTGTCGGGACCGAAAGGGTGCGAACGGTTTGGGACCGAAAGGGTGCGAACGATTCGGGACTGAAAGGGTGCGAACGGTTCGGGACCGAAATGGTGCGAACGGTTCGGGATCGAAAGGGTGCGAACGGTTCGGGATCGAAAGGGTGCGAACGGTTCGGGACCGAAAGGTGCGAACGGTTCGGGACCGAAAGGGTGCAAGCGGTTCGGGACCGAAAGGGTGCGAACGGTTCGGCCCGAAAGGGTATGCGAACGGTTCGACACCGAAAGGGTGCAAACGGTTCGGCACCGAAAGGGTGCGAACGGTTCGGCACCGAAAGGGTGCAAACGGTTCGGCACCGAAAGGGTGCGAACGGTTCGGCACCGAAAGGGTGCGAACGGTTCGGCACCGAAAGGGTGCGAACGGTTCGGCACCGAAAGGGTGCGAACGGTTCAGCACCGAAAGGGTGCGAAGGGTTCGGCACCGAAAGTGTGCGAAGGGTTCGGCACCGAAAGGGGGCGAATGGTTTGGCACCGAAAGAGTGCGAGTGGTTCAGGATCGAAAATGTGTGAATGTAACGTCACCGAAAGGGTGCAAATGGAACGTCACCGAAAGGGTGCGAATGTAACATCACCAAAATGGTGAGAATGTAACGTCATCAAAAAGGTGTGAATATAACATCACCGAAAGGGTGCGAACATAATGTTACCAAAAGTGAACGAACAAAATATCATTAATACTTATGGATGCAAGTCATTAGAGTTAAGGCCGAGCCATCATGAGTGGTAAACATATTGTTCATGGTCGGGTGCTATGGACTATGATCCATGATATGGATCGATGGCTCAAAAAGAAGTGTAAATGAAACAGCCTTAAAGTTTTATTGTACCTTATAATAAGTATAAAAATATAGACATTCATATGTATGGTAATGAAAGCACATAGACACTAACATCAATTTTTTTTTTTTTTTTGAAAAATGGAAAGGCATGACTCCTATGATAAATACTACACACCTATTGAAATGAATATACAATCCAAGGTGTATTGTGTTAAACAAATTATGGAACTACATTATAAAGTTTGTATGCCAAATTTAAATGCAACCCATTTTAAAAATTAAATATAAAAATAATCAGAGAAGGTTAATTATTTATTTGTTTCCTTAAAAGACACTTTTAAGGGTATTTAACAAATCATAAAATATATATTTCAAAAATACTCCACATTTCATTTTATTTTGGCATTCGCAACCTTTCACATTAATTGAGATTTTTATTAAGATACACAACTTTTTATTTTATTTGGCATCACAATCTTCAGAATTAATTGAGATTTTTGTTAATATACACAGCCTTTCATTTTATTTATTAAGAAGCATAACTTTTCATTTTATTTTTTTAAAGAGGCACAACTTTCCATTTTATTTTTCCTTTACAATATTTCACATTAATTGGAATTTTTATTAAGATACAGAACTTTAGAATTAATTGGTATTTTTATTAAGACACACAACCTTTCATTTTATTTATTAAGAGACACAACTTTTCATTTTATGTTATTAAGAGACACAACCTTTCATTTTATTTATTAAGAGAAACAACTTTCATTTTATTTTAGGTTTACAACATTTCACATTAATTGATATTTTTATTAAGAGTCACAACCTTTGATCTTGATTGACATTCACTTTCATCTTGATTGACATTCACAACTTTTAGAATTCATTGGGATTTTTTATTAAGGTACACAATTTTTATTTTATTTGACATTCACAATCTTTAGAATTAGTTGTGATTTTTATTAAGAGACAACCTCTCATTTTATTTATTAAGAGACACAATCTTTCAGTTATTTATTTAAAGAGACACAATTTTTCATTTTATTTTGTATTTTCAACCTTTCACACTAATAGAAATTTTTACTAAGAGTCTCAATTTTTTTTATTTGGCATTCAGAGACTTTTAAATTAATCAAGATTGTTATAATTAGTAGATTTTTATTATGAGAAGACACAACTCTTATAACTATTTTAAATATTTTTAAATTATTTTTTCTGAGACACAATTGTTTTTATAATGAAAAGATGCAACTTTTAAACTAATATATTTCATTTTTAATGAAGAGATATAACCTTTCAAAAATTGTTATTATAAGAAGAGACAATTCTTACAACCTCTTTTAAATACTTTTAAACTATTTTTTATGAGACACAAACTTTTTTATAATGAAAAGATAGAATTTTTAAAATAATAGAAATTATTTTATAAAAAGACACAATTCTATTTATAATAAAAAGATGCAACTTTTAAACTAATATATTTCAGTTCTTATGAAAAGATACACAACCTTTAAAACTAATATATTTCAGTTCTTTAAATAGACACAACTTTTCATTTTATTTTGTATTTTCAACC